TTACTTGTTAACAGTGCAAGAAAAAGCATGTCATTTATTACGTCGCTCGTCGCCGACCCCTCTATCGACCTCCGACATAATATGAAAACGTAGTTGTCAAGCGGTACATTCTTGTTTTCTGTTTTTTTTCTTTTTTCTGCCTGAAAAGAAAAATAACAGCACACTCATTTGCTTTTTCTCTGCTATCTGATTGGCTAGTTCTGTTTGTTGCTCGCATCTAGACTCTAAAATTGATATTTAATCAATACAAATGGTATTAAAGAATTAACTGAATCACAAGCGGACAAAATATGATGTGCTTGAATGAGATTGAAAAAGATAAAAGTTAGAAACAAAATGAAGCATAGAAGGAAATAGAAAAAATATGCAAAACAAGGATCTGTTGTAATTAACCACACTCGAGAATGTCCGTAGTATAGAGACACCTGGGATCGAATACTTTTAATGTCAATTATCTTAGTTAAAAGAAATGATTTCCTTCTACTATTGCATAAAACCTAGAAAAACTGATAAATTCTTTCTTTTTCGATGGTTTTTCATTAAAGAATGTTTTTTCTTGATTTGATTTGAATGATACATGTGAAAATTCGCTAAGAACCAACGTAAGTCTGATTTTTTTTGTTAATTCTTATTCTGTAGACTGAGAAAAGGACCAGGATAGTTCATGTCTAACAATGCAGGTTGAGAACGATCAGCGACGACATTTTCATGAGGTACTGCAGTGAATCAAAATATGCTAGATTCTTCCGATGCATCTGTTGCTATAGATGACTCGAAAGGACCTAAAAACTAGTAAAAAGAGTTGATGATTCGTGTCTGGGAGTCAGATCAATAACACAGGGTGAAAAGTTGTGGTATCTGGTCGCTTTACTGTTCCGCCCTTTGCTTTCAGCTTAATCTTTGTTAATCTCCATATGAAAAACAAAGGCTTATGTATGTTTGCCATGCTCAGTACACTTTTTGACCACATATCCTGTTTTTTTATGATGATGATAACAGGAAACGTGTTGTACTCTATCATTTCTGGGCTGGTTATCAAGCCTAAGTTCGGCTGTTTGCCTTTCATTAGGTAAAAAACTACGAACTGGTTTTGACAGAAAAACTCCGAAAATCGAAGGAATTTCAAAGCGATATTCTAGATTGGAATGTTTTAAGATTTTTTTTCTAAGACTTTTAATCAGTTGCTTGTTCTTGGCAACACTGAACAATCGGTAATCAGCGGACCAATTCGAAGACATTGCGATCTTCAATACTGTCTTCAAGTTTCATTCATTTACGCTGTTTTTCTACTGAAACTAGCCCATATCCTTTTACTTGGATTAAGAATAAAAAAAATTCTCATTGACATATAATGAAAATGTTCAAGTTAATTTATTACTAAAAAGAATATGAAATAGGATTTTTTATGCAAAAATAATGTAATTTTCATTTGACATTTGAAACTTGTTGTCAGTAAAAATATTCTATGGGTTATTGCAAAACTTTATAAGTATCTTCGAAATTCAGCTACTTAGGAAATAAAACATCAAATAATAGAACCACAATTCATTTGTTTAGAAAACACAAAAAAACACTCAACTTGTTTGTTTCCTATAAATATTGAATATAAACTATTCGTCCAATACGATCTTACTTATTCCAATAATATATCGATTCATTTATTTTTTTACGTCATCTTTCTATTAAATCTGCATAGAAGATTTATTCAAGCATTGGTGTGTTATTTACCATTCATTTTGAATCATGAGTCATCGTATTGGTCGAGAAAAATGAATTAAAAAGTGTTCTTTTATTTTATTTTTTACTAGAAAATGTCTGCCAACGAAAAAGAAGAACAAAAAGTAATTACAAATCCAAATTTAGGCAGTCATTTAACTATTGAAGATTTGTGCCGAATAAAAGATTTTCAAGTTGGAGATTTACCAAAAAATTCGAGTTATGTTCATCCTTTTCGAGCTACATTTATCGATGAACGTAATAATAATCCTGTAAAACGAGTATGGGATGCAATTGATGCACATGTAAGTTATTAATTAATATTTCAATCATTCTTAATTTATGCACATTTTACTAAATTAATGTGATCATAGAATTCAGTTGTTATCATTGTTTACAATCGATCAACGGATGCTCTAGTTTTCGTTCGTCAATTTCGTCCAGCTGTTCATGTTATGATTAGCAAAGCAGCACAAAATGTTTCGTCTACAGCTGATGTCGATTTTACAAAACAAGATCCTAAATCTGCTGTCACTTATGAATTTTGTGCTGGGATTATTGATAAAAAACATTTATCTAATAAAGAACATGCACATGTTGAATTACTGGAAGAATGCGGTTATTCAGTTGATATCAACTCAATTGAATCCGTGGCTAAATATCGATCGGGCGTTGGTACAGCGGGAGCACTTCAGGAACTTTTTTATGTTGAAGTAACACATGAAATGAAAACAAATACGGGTGGTGGAAACTTATCCGAACAAGAATGTAAGATGAAATTAAAAAGATTAATATCATTTTTATTAATTTATTAATTTATAGTTATTGCCATACACGAGATTCCTGTTGATGAACTATATCAATTTTTATTTGATGAAACTAAAGCCAAAGAAGCATCACTGATGTTTGGTGTGATGTGGTTTTTACATAAAAAAGGACGACTACCATAAACTGTGATTAAAAAAAATCGATATTTGTTTTTTTCTAAAATTATTAATAAAAGATTGACAAGCTCAAATCGTTTCATTGATTTAAAAAGTTTTAAAGAATTCAGCAAAAAATTTTAGAAATTCTTGGAAAAGTAACTCATTTTGGAGATTAACGACTTCATTCTTATATAGATTTGTGCTACTCATTGCTGTCTATACAAGTGAAAAATATGCGTTTCGATATGTTATTGCGTTCGCAAGTCATCTAAACAAGGAAATGAAAAGTAAAAAACTCGAGTTCCACTGAGTATATTTAAACTCAAAAGGTTACATTGTTGTTATTCAGTGATCTTCTCTGATTATAAGAACATGTCTAACGGTCAGTGATTTGTGGTGACCTTGTTTTATATTTAACAATAAAATTTTTTCTTTTTAGTGAATAATAAGTTTAAAGTATAAGTGCATCATTGATGATTTTATGTGATAATACATGTTCATTCCGTTGAAAGTATACTTGATCGTTGTAATAGTACTTTCGCTATGATAGTCTGTCTGCATTTGGAAAATTACCAGTGCCGTTGGTCGATTTTACAACTTTTACATACGACATCATCAGTGGTAGTGCAACGATTTCATAAAATTTTGTTAATAATATTCATGTCATTTATGATAGAAATGAATATGTTTATTGGTATTTCATTGGTTTAATTTGCACACAAAGACATACACCATAATGGATCATTCAAATTATTCTTGTGAAAATTTTTCGTTACTGGCAAATCTTTTACAATGCATTCTATATTTGTATAAGGTTTGACGATTGAGTTACTTCTTTAATAGAATCTTCCATATGAAAAAAGAAACTTCTCTTGAAAAAATTCTTTTTAAGCACAATATCAATAATCATGTGCATTTGACTTTTACTTAAATATCATATTTCAGACATCGAATCGTTTGCATTTGCATAATCACTATATTTACAAATGATATTTGACAAAACTGATATGACAAAATGAGGTTATAATCAGTAAAAGTGCGAAACAAGTTCTATCATTAAAAAGTTGAGGGCATCTACTCATGTTGATACATCCGACTTTCTTACATTAGCTATTATAATCGTGCTGCATCGAAACTTAAGACACCATGTCATCTCCCCCAATTTTGCGTGGTTTATAGTGTGAAGCTTCATCGTACCGATAATTGATTAATTATATTTGCTTTAATGGAGCTTCTGAAACTGGATACAATTAGCTTTGTTTGAACGGTGGTGAATGCTGTGTCATACGTAGATAGATAAAATATTCATTGAAAAGACTTTCTGCACAAGACAACTGTGTTGAATGTACTTTACAGTTGCCTTTGTTTATGGTATCACTCAGAATACTATTTCATTAAGCTAAAACTTTACTAAATAAAATATGTTTCATAGTGGGCCAGCTGGTAAAAATCTTATGGGGTGTAATAAGGAAAACATATCAATCTGAAGGTTTTTATGCATGCTAATCATTAATTGTCTGTTTTGTTTATTCAAATGCAACATACATCATCGAATAAAGGGTGTCGAACTACCTGAAACAAAGTGCATTTTATAAGTGACACATTTCGTGGAGCAAAACATCAGATAAAACGCTTGATTAGATCGTGACTAATGACGTTTTAAAAGTTCCACTCACCAAACCTTTATGTTCGGTCCAATGAAATTTATGTCATTCGATTGACACCTTTCAAGCGACATCAAATGTGTTGCAATTCGAAGTTGACTAGATTTATGCAGTGAATCATTTTTGGGAAAACTCGAATCCACTAATAATTTTCGCTACGTTATAGAGAGGATATTTTTTTCAAGGACAAACATTGACTTGATTCTTTCATCAATAATATTATGTCTTTTATTCAACTTTTGACGTCTTTTCTTCTAGTGTTTAAGAAAAGAATCATTAAAAATAAGTATCTAGATGACCAAACAAGCTTGATAACACAATAAGAAATTATGTTTGTGTTTTGATTGTTGCATAAAAACCAAGTAGGATCCATAATGCTTGATTTGATTCATGTCAGTTCATGTGTAAATAAATAGATACATAGTCTGTTCTTTTAAAGTGAACATACACTCTTCATAGCACCTGCGATAAAAACTGTAAAGGTAATTTC